CAGAATCGTCAACAACAGAGTATACAGATAAGATTTTATCATTTAATTCCTTCCAAAGATAAACACTATGCAAATATCCACGAAACGGCAGTTGTAGTCTTTTCTGCTAGTGTTTTAAAACACTAATTTGAGCAACGTTATTTCGCAATTTCGATCTTTTGTTAACCTGGGGTGATGTATCAAGGTCTAAAGTAACCGTTTTATCAATTTTTGAAAAATCAAGAAAAAAGTGAAAATTTCCCTTCTCGCTACCTTAATAGAAAGAAAATTCGGGGAATGAGAGCAATCGGCAGAGGAAGACAGGCACTCAAGTTTCGTTGGACTACCGCCACCAATTTCCACTCACCAACACAAAAACCACACCATCATTTTAACTTCAAATATCAAGGAGACGACCGAACAAGAATTTCTGTCAGCTGTCAGAAGAGTAACAATAAAAACATTTTTCACAGAAATTACTAGTATGGAGACATTATTGTTGTGATGCATAGTATACCGGTACTTTTTATTATGACATCTGCAAGTCGAATTTTACCCTGGCGATTTTTAAACAATCAGCTGATTGGTAATTTGCATACATGTGCGTACAAGCTCCAGCCACTGTTGACTTTATAAACATAGCGGAATATCAGAAGTTGGCTCATGAAGACAGTTTTGTCAACTTCGCGTTTTGTAGAACAAAAACGCTCACACCACGGTTACTAAAAAAGACGGTTAGGAAACGAATCATGTTCTTTTCATTGGATGCGTGTCGCGGGTAAACATTTGAAACAAAAGACGTACTAATCTGTGATAAATCGATTAACATAAAATGTAGACAGGAAATCACGCAAATATGACGTCATTTTTCCCAGAGTTCATTGCAATCAACAACAGCACGCCATTTTATTGTTTGTCTCTGTCGATACTTTCAGTAGTACTAGTAAAGTGCAAGTTGTTACAGTGAATCCTGACAAAACCTGTCGCTCGGTTTAAACTCAATACAAATTTGCCTGTCTTGTATGGCATTTTCGTTTCTAAATAACAAGATTGGCAGAAAATTGAAATAAAAAAACCAACAAAACATGATCAGAAAAAAAGACGTCGAAGAAACCATACAAGTGTTTATATTTCAGCCAGGCGAAAGTTTTAATGAGGAGCCATGATACCACGTACATTTTGTTGGAAATATGCGATAAGATACAGTTTCTCCACGAGGGGTTTAAGATGGCGCAGCGCCCTCTTTAATTTATTTGCGCCCCTCTTCAATTTGTAGCGCCCCTCTATATATCTTCGGCGCCCTCTTTTGTTTTCAGTGAACAGCTGTTTCACGAGTCCCGGAAGATGTCCCGACGAAGTTATTTAGAGACCTCTTATTAATTGACAGGCAATAAAACAAAGAACTAAGAGACAGATAGTGGCATAGATGACAACTAGGACAATGGATTTGATGTCTGGGGAAAAACTGGCTGAATAAATAAACAAAAAACAATGGCTAGATGTGTGAAGTGATTGTCACAAGCATTGCGTTAATCACGCAATGGGGGAGTCAAAACCACAGGGGCCTGACGATCTATTTGTCTCGATGCATGGACGTCTATGGGACCGAGCGACTATGTCCCGGTACAGGACCTTGTCCTTGCTCAAAATAATAGAAATTATAGAAATAAAACAGTTTAGTAATGTGAAGCAAGCTTATGTTATTAAATTTAATCATCACGCTCCGAAACCACGAAAATCACTAATACTTGTTTCCGGCCGATCAGCTTGCACTATATACAAGACAAGGGAGGAAACAAAATATGCACACATTTTTCTAGCAGCCGAAAATCACACCTCAAAATACAAAATACCTAGATACTTAAGAACAGAAGAACCAACAACAATTTATTGGTCCAATTGCTTGTTACTTGCCTTTTATTGGCGAAAAGTAAAAAGAATCATCAAAAGAATCACCGAAACAAAACGGTACGGTAAACACTGAAACAACATGGATGTCACGGTATCTGAGTTGATCTTTGTCCTCAGTACCCATAATGCAATTAACATAATGATCAATTTATTTACAGTCATCGGATTCGATTTTTTATTTCAAACGGTAATTTTGTTATGTGAAAATATTTTTCTTCTTATTACTTGGGTTTTTCAACTATTACAAAATGCCAGTGCATTATAAAACTTATGAAAATGAAACTACTTGAAAGAAATTTAAAAGAAATGAATGAAAGGCTAGAATTTCACAACTTGTTCCATTACAGAGAATAAAATGGATATTCTTAATCTGTCAAAGTTGATATTTTTTTTACATCAAGTGGTTCAATTTATTTATCAAAATAATTCTAAGAATTTTCTTTGAAATGTTTGATTAGTATGCTAATTATATGCAAATTAGATATGCTAATTTTATGCAAATTAGCACCCCTCTTCAAATTTTATTTGTGGAGAACACTGAGATAACTGAAATGACCCGCCCATACAAAATGCATGTAAGCAGACCAAATATGCAACAGGCAGTTCCAATGAAATTAAGAATGGTTAAAATGGGTTTGAAAAATTGATTTGGCGAAGAGACTGCTAGAAAGTTGTACCGACAGTTCAATGTGTTAAAAAATTGTAGCATTGACTAAATATCACATTTAATGGCACGCTGAATATTGCAACATGAAAAATTTTCCAAAAAACTGAAACAAGGACAGACAAGAACAGTTAAACAGGCATTTTATGAAACTGACGGAAAATGTTGAATACATTTTCAACAATTTCTACGGCGTCTACAAAAAAAGTGTTACGACTGTAAACAAAATGGCTGATACAGTGACGCGAAAGCAAAACGATTAAATTTACTCTAATAAGCCCCCAAATCGCACACAACCTTCATAAGTACGCACAGTAGTATACGAAAAATTCATTTGGTAGTATTTTTTATAATATAATGTATTTTAAAATAGTGATTTAGGGGTTAGAATTTTTGTCACTTTTCTACCGGGACCCAAGCTCACTCTCATGACAACAGTCAAAACGATAAATGACAATTCTTGATTCTGAATGTTTTCACAGTCATAAAGAGTACTCATTCGAAATGTACGTGTGGTTCTTCGTAGAGCTTGTTCACTAAACATGGATATTCTATCGAAAACGAGCTTAAAATTTCAAATATGCGGAACATCAAGTGATTGACACAAAAATGAAACAAAATGGTGGGCCTTGAAATCTCATTACACAGCGCGACACGCATCCTTGAGGGATTAGGCAGATTCACACCTTTTAACAATGGCGTTTCCTAACCGTCTTTTTTAGTAACCGTGCTCACACAAATAGATTTGCACAGATTTAATTTTTTTTTAAAAACAGTGTTGTTCCAGTTGTGTAATTAGGTCTTCGTGTAATTAGGTGTTCGTTTTTAAGGGATTTTTCCACACAAAAACGACGAATTCGGCCCATTGAAATATCACTTTTCACCAAAAATGACAAAAATATTCACCAAAATTAAAGAATTGAAGAAATCATCATGAAATGAACAAATCTAAGAGAGGTCTACCCAAGGTATATATACACCAAGTATCAAAGCATTCAGGTTTGTAGTTTTCAAGGAGAAGTCAAAAAAGTAAAACATTGACACGGACGACGGACAATCACTCGTATGATAAGCTTCACTCAACAAAGTCCACAGCAGAGCTAAAAAATTCACCAAAATTAGAGAATTGAAGATATCATGAAATGAACAAATCTGAGGTTAAAGTGGATGCCAACAACAGAAAATCAATCACATGTTCAGTGTTCTCCACAGGCCAAAACAGCGTCGCGGGCCACGACGCGACGCGATCGGATTTTCCCGCGGCGCTATGTGTTTCCTCCGCGATGCTATTATTTATCCCGTGATCTGATTTCTTCAGTCTCTCACAGACTGTAAAGTTTCCTGGCTAACTAGTTAAATCTACAAATGCACTGTATTAACGCCAATTTCCCAGGATAATCCCCTGTTGTTTCTCATTGGTTGGATATCGTTGAATTGAATTAAGTGAAGCATAATGGAAAATAATATATTTATCAAGAAATCAGGAATTCTAATCAAGAAACGTGTGGAAATTGGAGTGACACTTGTGTTATTTCTTAAAGAAAAAGCCTCAATTTTACGTGGTATAACAATGGCAACAATTCGTAATTCAGAACTCCGTTGTCTCGACTTGTTCACAATTGTGTTGAACAGACAACGTCGACGATTAAAAAAAATACATAAAGATGGATAATTTCAGCCAGAAAAACTATTATTGCTCGAACATAGTAGTGTAAGTATCGTGACTCGTAACAGTTGTTGTACTTAACCGGAAAACAACAGAAACGGAAGATAAGCACTGAGAATCATCAACCCAATGTTTAATTTACCGGGACCGAACAGGGTTTTATGAAGTTGCTGATTGCTGGGCCAAGCAAAAAAACCAGAAAACTGAGTATTTCTGCAGGACATTTGCAATACTAAACATGCAGTGCACTTTTATTGTATACAGATTGTACATAAAATAAATAGAAAAAAAAAAGGAAAAAAAATGGTCTTGTTTTATTTCTCCCCATATGACAAACAATATGTTTATGTTAATTATATGCTAATTATTATACAAATTAGCCGCGACTCTATGAAAAATTTCTGGGGAGAACACTGATATTAAGTTCCGCTTGACAGCAGAGCTAAAAAAGGTCACCATCTGTTTTTGTCAGATTCAAAAAAGTATGACATGTACCTGTAACCCACCGAGCATGATCATGACACCAAGTTTGAGAGAAAACCTTTCATTCATCTCTGAAAAACAGCTCCCAACACATTCGAGTATCAGGATATAACAAATTAATGTGCCCAAAATGACTACCAGTCGGCCATTTGTGCTCAGACCAATAAATGAACATGATCAGTGCAGTGGGCTAGCATTTTACCATTCTTGTTTGTGGATTAACAATAATAATTACACATACATGTAGCTTTGTTGTCAAAACATAAAAAATGTATGGTAGCAGACCAAGAGGCAGCTTATAAGGCCCCATTCAGTTGTCCAAGGTGATTGTTTGGTTGTGGTTAATTATTTGCAATAATCATCATCAAAAAAAAATTCTGCAAGATTGGCCAATAAGTCAAAAGTAGCATTTATTACAAAAAAATGCCAAAAAATTTCACAAAAGATAGTGAACTGAAGATATCTTCACAAAATACATGTATATACTGGTACATCATCCATGTATAAAAGCAGTTAACCTAGTAGTCTTCAAAAATGATGAAAATATTAGATATTATTACAAATACTGTGAAAAAATCTAAGAGGTCCACCTAAGATACACAGCGGAGCTAAAAAACCTAATTCAAGCAACACTGACAAGTTTCAACAACGAATGTATAAAAATCATAACAATATTAACATGATCAAACACGATGTCAACAAAATGGCCGGTGACTCTTCGCTAACTTGAATCAGTTTCTCCATTTTACATACTGTACTCAAGATTTAGATTCACACTGCGCCGTGATTATAAATATAACTGCCACAATAAAAAA